GGGGCAGAAAAGGCTCCCGAGGGGACTGCATGAGCGTGAGGACACTGCGGCCAAGTGGAATGAGAGCACGGAGGGCACGGTTAGGCAAACGGAGCTGGAACTAAGTGCTGTTGGGGAAAATGAGACCTTAAAGGATGCCTTTGGGCAGAGCATGCGCACGGAGGGCGACGCTGGACAGACTGAGGAGGCAGGAGATGCTTCCAGCTGGAAGGAGACATGGGTGGACTCTGTTCCCCAGAAGCCGCTGGGGGGGGATGCTGCTGGGCAGGAGGGGGGGGGGCCCGAGCAGGATGAGGCGGTGGCACACACCGCCAGGCCTGGCAAACCCGGGATAGGCCCAGCTCCGTGGGGCGAGGCAACGCAGGGCCCTGCGTGGCAGAGTGAGACCACAGCACCTGCTGCCCCGTGGGAAGAGATGGTGGGAAATGCTGCTGGGCAAAACCAAACAACAGGGGAGCGCGCCGGCGAGAACGAAACAGGGGCCGTTCAACCCCCGCGTGATGGGCTTGATCAGAGCAGTGACTGGGGAAATGCTGCAGACATGCCCCAGGTCCTCCAGATGAACATCAGCTCTACTTTGGAGCACGACTCCAGGATAACAGGAGGCACTTTGTGTCATCGTGGACATTGCCCCTGGCAGGTAATACTTCTCTCCCAGTCTGGCCATAAATACCACACCTGAATGCTTTCTTACTTTACTTGTTCCATCCGGAGCAGAGTTCATCAAGCCATTATAAAGCTTTTTTTCAGGGCGAGAGCAATCCAACCACAGGTATTTCTCAAGCTTCTACAGGTCTTTTTGATGATACGTATCATCTTAGTTGCTTTATTTATCATTCTTCCCTTATCCTAGATAGATGCTTTTTTGTGATCTCAGCTTAATACATCAATCAGATCTTCTCCTGCTGTGTTGAGGTTCTTTGTTTCTACATGTTCTTGGTGAAAAGCTGTGCTTCTGACTCCTCCTGGAATGGCTGGTGATATTTTTCACAAAAAATTCTTCTAAGACCAGGTGAGATTCTTCATTAGAATACTTTTCATACTTGTATGAAAAGGGCTCAAGAGGGCTCAAATGTGAAGGCAAATAAGGGAACCCTCCCTGAAGTGTTTCTTTTATTTCCATGATACTGTTTTGTTCTTCTAATCTTGGTTTTGGGCTTGCGTGTGTGTGAACTTATTTGTTACGGGCTTGTGCATAGAAAGTCTTGTCTAAAAGATCTCAGGTTATGATCAGTCTATTTTATTGCCCTCATGCAAAAATATTTTCCCTTTCCACCCATCAGGAGGTATTTTACAAGGGGGGAAAACTAGTAGGCTGAACCTGTGCGGACAACACAGTCATTGCACACTTTTGCAAGCCGCAGTGTCACTACCAATAAATTGTATGGGTTTCTGCCATCTTACACACTTCTAGAAGGAACAGCACCTGCTTGCCTTTTGATCAAGTGAGACCTGATTTTGAGTTGCCTGAATGCTGCCTGACCTGTACCGTTTGTTCTTGAATTAAGGTGTTACCATCAAGGAAGCTTTGTATTTTCATTACAGCAGGCAATTTGTAACTGAAGCTTGTATTTTATATATGTATTTTTTAAAGGCTTTTGCAAACCCTTTCCATTCTAGTTCTTCATAACCTAAGACAGAATTTGTCTTTGCTCCTTTTCAATGTTTTGTTCTAGCACTATTGAACAAAATTAAAAGCATTAATAGTACACAGAATTAAATCAAAATAGCTTATGTAAAACTTGACATTACTCCAGGAACTAAACAAGGTAGGAGGCCAGATGGTGTTGCACCTTTTTCCACTATTTGATTATTATATTATTAACAAACTTTAAGCTTTTCCTTCAGTTTAACACATGAAATAACAGGTTCAGGGAAGAGTTTAATTGAAGAGACGCTGAGGCATTAATGGAGGTTGTAATTCTGCATAAACAAGGAAACATCTAATGCTGAGCAGCATGTGTTCACTTCTCCCTTTCCTACTCTGTAGCTCCCTCCAAAATACCAGTAAAAAGGAAAAATGACAAAGTTTCCAAATCTCCACTCTTACTTGCACTTTCACTGGACAACTCAGAAAGTGAAAAACTCTTTCTAGCCCTTGTTCACGCAGAAAAACACCACTCTTCTTTTTTAACCCAAGTACCAATGAAATACACCTAGTGTTACTGTTCTACCCCCCAAAAAATTGAAGCCACATGAAAAATCACAATCGTACTCATTTCCTTAGAATGCCAGTCAGCACAGCTCTAATCCTATTTGATTTTGTCAAGCTTAGTTCATCATGCTATCCTGCTCCATTGTCACAGATGTGCAGTCATTTTCTTACTGTTTTAACACCATCATCTTTGCTTGGTGCACTCTAGTCAGAACTGTTGCTTTCAAGATTACACAGCCTGCAACCAACCAGAGACCAGCAGTGCACATGAATACCTAACACAGCCCTGGTGACACGTTCTTCCTCATCTTTCACACAGGTTTTGATCCGGAATAGTAAAGACATTGGTTTCTGTGGAGGGAGCTTAATCAGCAGCCGCTGGGTGGTCACCGCTGCTCACTGCCTTGATCTCGTCAGACCCCACCATGTTACCGTAGGTGAGTACAACTGGTGTAAACACAGGGGTAGTCTCTTCCTTAAAGTGAGCTTTGTACATGAACACAGTAAGGTATGGTTGAGAGACACACACACGCATCAGATTTACAGAACACTTCAGTTCCTTGGCAACGGTGGACCAGCTGGTCCCTTTTGTTTTCATGGAGAACCTGGGAATGTGAGGCAGAGATTTCTCTTTTTGTTGCCCCTTTTGGCAATCTCATTGTGCATGGAGACTGAGCACATCTCAGGGTACATGTGGGATGGAAGGATTCCTGTAGGTGATGCTCTGCTTTCAAGTCAGTTTTGGTTTTTAATCAGCTGTGCTAAGGCACTGCTTCTCATTACCGGTAGCTGCCTCAAAGCAGAAAGCCTGCCCCCAGTCATGTCCTACAGCACCTATCATCAGTAGCAGGAATGCTGCCTGAAAGCCAGCCTTGTGGTTGAAACCTCCAGAAGAGACATGCAAGAGGAGCAAACAGAATACAGCACTGGATAACTGACAGGAAACAATTCTTCTGCCTTACCCACAGCTGCATCTTAACGCTTAATAAGTATGTCACGTTCCTGAGGGGGAAAAACAGAAAGTCCCATGCAAGCTTAGACAAACTGTTCAAAATACAGCACTCACTTACTAAAAAGCATTAACTGTATTTATGGTAAAATCCCTGCCCCAGAAGCCGTAATTGCATAAAGTAGATACTTGGGTATCTACTCATTCTACTCATCCAGTCAACAAGTTTGTTTTGCCTGTGAAGGGCAAACTGGTAATTTGGAGGATCACATCTGCAGCAGCAGCAATTACTGTTACAGAGCATGATTTGTGTGGGGAGGGAAGGTCAAAAGCATTAATTCACTATCCTTCCCACCCTACGGGCTGTTTCCAGTTTGCTTAACATTTTAACTTGTCACGACTACAGGAGACTTTGACAAATACCAAAGAGAACTGAAAGAACAGAAGATTGATGTGGAACGGAGCTGGACACATCCACATTATGATTCCAACGACTACAACGGTGACATCGCCTTGTTGTACTTGAGCAGCGATGTTATTTTTAATGAGTATGCAATTCCCATCTGCCTTCCCAGCCCGACCCTTGCCACCCTGCTATCTGAAGAAGGAAGAATCGGGATGGTAAGCGGATGGGGTGCCACTCACGAGAGAGGTTCGACTCTGCGCTTCCTCATGAAGGTCCGGCTGCCCATCGTGAACATGGAGACCTGTCAGCGGTCAACAGACCGACTCATTACCGATAACATGTTCTGTGCAGGCTACAGCGCTGAAGCTGCGGACGCTTGCAAAGGGGACAGTGGTGGCCCTTTCACAGTGTCTTACCACAACACTTGGTTTCTCTTGGGGATTGTAAGCTGGGGGGAGGGCTGTGCGGAAAAAGGAAAATACGGTGTATATACCAGAGTATCCAACTACATCCCCTGGATTAAAGAGATTGTTGAAAGTGTGGCAGATGCAAAAAACTTTTCCATTAACTTTTCTTAAGACAATCTTTAAAAACAGGAACCACCCTATTATTACAGAGTGCTTCCATCTAAGACATTATGCAATTCCTGTCGTTAATGGTATAGAAATCAAAATTATCTTCAAAGAAATTTTGAGTCTGTTTACCATAAATGGTTAAATTGCTAATTCAAGTATTACTGAGTAAAATACTTGTGTATAATAAAGAACTATTCTGCAAATAAATAATAAAGGAGACAACTACAACTTTAAATGCCCAGCAGAAAGGTTTTGTTTGGTCAGTTTGTGGGGCTGGGTTTTTTAGAGAAAGCAAAAGCTTTCCGTTTCTCAAGCCTACATGCATATCCCAAAAGCAGGCAAATAATCCTGTGTGAATTAGTTGCATTTCCAGTAGTGTTCTCTGTCCTCTAGTTATGAAACACCATGGTGAACACAGCCACTAGCGATCTGTGAAGTTGTGTCACCCAATAAAACTGTTACCTCAAGTACAAGTCAGTTTACTAAAATACCAGTACTTTCTGCTACAAAACCAACGTCTATGTGTTAGGGACTGCACAGGAGGAACTGCCCAAGGGGGAATCCACCTGGCTGCAGCTGGAGAAACATACACAGGATTGTACAGTGGGATTCTGAAAGAAGTGAATTCCTGTTGGGGGGCCCTGGGGGGTGAGGAATGGTGCCTGCTGCGCTTTGCGGGGTGCCCTACTTCACTGCAGCTCTGCTCCAGCAGCAGAGGGTGAGGAAAGGCGTGAAGATGGGCCACGTGTTCCTGCTCTGGGCAGAGTTCTACAGAAGTGGAACTACAAAAAAAACACAGAGCTACCAAAGTAGCGAATAACAGAACTGTCCATTTTTCACACTTTTTTTCCTAAGAAAGAAAACCCTTTTTTTTTATTCTGAAGATGCACACACACACCCCCCATGTAGACAATTTACCTCTGATTGATAGTTTTTGATGAGCGGTAATTCAGACAGGAAATATTTGTGAACACACTTGATGGAGAAAGAGCCACCACAGCAATAACTTTTCTCTCAGTCATTGCAAAAGGAAGATTGGTCCTGTGCAGCCAGCCGCCCCTCTACAAGGCCTATTTCCCCACACAGCCAAAGAAGTTTCACATACTTAAAGGAAGTGCTCAATACCAAAATGCAAGCAAAATACCTATGGGCCAGACTAATATCCCCCGACTAACTGTCCCCTCTGAGTACCTACATCACCATCTTTGTCCAACTGTCTTTGCTGTTATTTCTAGGTGGTCTTTATGACCCAGATATCTCAAAAGTTAAGTTTTGGGTTTGTGACCTTTTTTACAACTAACTTACTATGAAGTTTTAATTTAAAAAGCACCCCAGCACTCTCACTGATGAGTGGTTCTCTTCCTGAGCTTTATTCAAAGCCTCATGAAAATAAGCCAGTCAGTCCATTATTACCATTGCACAAGAAACAGAACCTTTTTGTTTGCCTCAGAGAACACGTGATGCCAAGTTCCTATGATTAATTTTGATGGCAAGGAACTGTATTGGGCCCTCAAAAGACCACCAGGGTCAGTACGTTAAGGAAACATCTCTTAGGATTGAAAAGGAGCCCACAGTCCCCCATGGCTGCAGTACCAGAACAACAACAAAAAGTTGGGGGGGAGGCAGGGAGAGGGGGGAAGCAGCCCACCCTAACTCACAGACCTTCGGGGCCAAACGCAACCTGGGTACAAACAGCTCTACACCATTCAGTTTTTCACATAGTTGCACCTGCCAATATAACACTAAGGAATTAATTACCTGTCTTTCAATAAATATTAATTAAAAATGGGGAAAAAAACCCAAACCCTTGAAACTGTCAGCATGCTAAAAGCACGCACCTGAGGTCAGTTGCTGTGACATAAGCATACCTGGCAAGAGTAGGTGAAGAAGTCTTACAGCAGAATTCCTTTAGTAGGCTCCACCCAGCACAGGCATCCTCCTTCAGTTTTTGCTTCATGTCCCAGCGTACAGCTTTATTTTGTCGTCAGTCCCCTTCAGTCTGGCAGGAGCCAGACCATCCAGTGTGACCATCCACATACTTACATTCTCTCCAGGATCAGTGCCAGCAGATGCCAGAGGTATTAAGCGCCTCCACATCGGCCAACACCACGATCCCGCCTCAGGGAATTCACAGCATCACAGAACACACACTGCAGCCAACAGGCTGCACTCCTCTGGAACGCAGGCAACTTTCTTATTGAAATCCCAACTGCCAGTTATCCGTGCAAGGAGAAGAGTCCGCTTCTTGTAGGAATGCTCAGCAAACAAAAACATTTTCAGAGGTAGAGGTAAAGAAGCAGAGGTACAAAATGTTGCTCTGCTGTCTTTCTGTAGCACCAGGGACGAAGAAGTAGCAGCATTATCCCCCTAACACAGAGATAGGAACCTTCTCCTTACCACTGGTAAAACAAGCCTTTCTGAAAGTCACTAGTGGGCTACAGAGCAACACACCTTCGAGCTACCCAAATACTAAAGCAAAACAGAAGAAAATGTACATGGCTTTCAACTCTACAAGTGAAGTCACAGCAGTATCAAGCCCTGCAGCAAAGGCTCCACACAGCTGATCTAAGTAAGTGCTGCATAAAGCACACAAAAAAGATGTGTCCAGCAATCTGATATTCAGTCTTAAGTAGTGTCACTAACCCTGAGTCCAAAGTCTGGCTTACTTTAAAAAGAATCTATTCTATCACCGTCACAGAAAAGCCCATCAGCTGCGGCCCTTTGTTCTCCAACAGCAGTCACCACTGAAGCTTTGCCGTTCACACGGAGGATCAATAGCGGTGAAATACTGCTGTCTGTCTTACGTCACGCATGTTAGCTGGAAGCCGCTGGAATTTTTAGTGGTCAGTCTGCTGGTCTTCTCCTCAACTTTTTTCATCACGCTTTCATGAAAAATGAAATCCTTTGGGTGGAAGATGGTCAATGTTTCTAATCAAAACCAATACATGTAGATCTCCAAAGACAGAACAACTGATTAATAAAAGTGCTGAATAAAGAGGAAATGGACAATGGTAAACAGAAAATTAACAATTAGCAGCTTCTCCACATACCAGGTGGACCACACTTATATTCTCTTGAGCAATCAACAGACAGCCCCCCAAAAAACAGAAGATGTTTTATTGTCTAAAGTGTTGCAATACAACAAATACGTGATCTGTACAAAGGACACAATAGAGCAAGTTTAAATACAATCAGGAGAAAGAAGTCCCCATATTCACAGTCCTCAGACAACATCTTATACCAGAACCTGAACCAACGATTTTAGAGATTCACTAAAAAAACCCAAACAAGTTGTTAAAAAATTTAAAGGTCTCCAAAGAGTCTATGGGTGTACTGTCTTACAGCAGAGGTCATGGGGTATTCTGTGAAGGGTCACAATGGCATCTTATTGCCCTCAATGCTGATTTTCACTGCATGGGCCGATCTGCTTTTTTTCCTGATATCTGTGAATTTCCGCATCTGTTTGTCCAGTCGACTCACCCCTTTCTTAGAGGTCCCCTGGAACTTAAAAAATAAAACTAATAATTACCACTGAAAAAAAGCAGACGTCCCAGAGGATCAATCAAGAAAAGCGATGCATGCAAGGTTAAACCTGCAAGAGGGAGCTGATGAAACCACTGCTTCCAACTGGGGGTCTGTGTGTGCGCGCACACACATGTTCTCTCCCCGCAAAGTGGGTAAAATGGTTCCTCCAATTCGTGCATCGCGTATATGGAGGCAGTCACACTCTCAAACATCACACAGTAAAGCTTTCACATTACAGGGATTAATAACCATGTTAGTCGTTCTCATGCCGGCTGAATATACAGCGTGGAATAATTTTGTATCTATATTGCCTGGAGTTTAGTGTCAAAAATATACTGTACTACAGTGTCACACATATAGGCTTTCTGTGGGGGTAAGATTTTTTAGATATGAATATATTGTAAATGAGGCGGACTGAGTTGACATATCAAATCCAAACTGCAATTTATTTTAAGGGTCACTGATTAGTACTTATAAAGCAAGAGATGGGAAAAAGGGGGTCTAGGGGGAAGCAAAAGAAATGCCTAAGCTGACCATACAGGTTCTTAGAAGAGTTACTGCATTTCACCTCTGTATTTTAACTGCAAATGAAACATTGAGATGACGCAGCAGTTATTTTGCACAGATTAGGTACAGCAATTCTGTAAAGAAACATCACTAAAGACAAACAGCAAGGACCTTCCAATCCGTAGCCATTACTTCCTAAAAAGCAATTTCCCCTAACTAGACAACAGAAACAATGTTGGGAACTTCCCACCTTTTAATTTTGGGAGAAACAGAGATATCCAGAACATGCTACTTAATATCCGACAAACAACACCTGTTAGAAACTGAACCTCTAGTTCCCATCACTGAGGAAGGTTCTCCTGAAACACTGACTTTAAATAAACTTTATGAATAAAACTGTTCACTAGTCATTGAAATTATAGCTGGAATTTCACAGTGATTTTTAAAAAAATATATGTTTTTTTTTTAAACAAATAAATATGAAGCTTAAACTCAACAGTTATCTACCATTTGTGCTAGCCTCTTCCTGTCACTACTAGTTTGTGGCAGCCCTGCTCACAGAACTCAAATGCAGACTAGAAATCGTCAAAACAATTCCCGCACTGAGGCAGGTCATTGATCGATCTACCTTCACCCCGCATTCGCAACAGGGGATACTTCTCCCCCTGGTCTGCAGAGGTCTCACTCTCTGCCTCCTGTCAACCACCCCTAAAGTCTCACATCACTCAACTTCCTTGAAAGAGCAGGTGTGAAAAATACCTTGCTTTGGACCAGTAAAACATCAGCCACAGATGCTGGTAGGCAGTGACATGAGGCCCTATGCTAAGGGCTAAGAAATCCTGTGTGTCAGCTCAGGTAAACCTGGAGAACCTAATCATGTCAGAACAGCACTCAAAACCACAGGTGGTGCAAAGCTATTTTTGAGAACAGGTATTTTCATTTAACACCTGTTATTTGGGTACCCTGAAGCTGTTACGTGCTACAGCCTGTGTTTTCCTGTACAAGTTACCCTTTAGGTCACAGTACAGACATGAGAGAATACAAGGAGAGTTTTCCAAGTTTAAGTTAAGGTGTACACACTCCTTTCCTGTATGTGCAAACTGCCAACAGCTGAAGCACATGCACTGTTCACACCTCCCTTGAGGGATACCTCTCAAACTTGGGGAAGGCAGAGTGTCATGGCTACAGGGGCATCCTGTTGCCTTCAATGCTGAACTTGATGGCCCGATGCACTTTGCTGAGTCGTTTCTGTTCAGCAAACCGTCTCTTGTGTTTTTCCAAGCGACTAATACCTCTCTTAATAGTCCCGGGCTAGAAACAATATCTCAATTAATGCACAGAACGAGAGATAACAGCAGAAAGCACAGTAATTATTACTTCTTCCATTTACATGTGTTCTACCATGTACTCTGCTTTTAAATTAAACTGTACAAGGTAGAGGGATGAACCAAATAAAGCAAGGCAAAGGCCTCTACTGAAGCTGTTAATGCTTACCAAATCCTCACAGTTTTCCCCCACTGGAATATTATCAGAAGAAATGATACAAAAACTGGGAGAGGTATAAAAATATCAGTGACACACTTATTGAATGGCAGCTTTAGTTCAAAATGCTCTAAACTAAGAGGCCTGTTATCAGATTCTCACCCTGCAGAGAAACTCTAAAATAGTTAACATGAAAATCTCTTTTTGGTTAGAGAAGCAACGATACCCAAGTGAAAGTATTTAATGAGCTTAAAACAGCCCACTTGATAGCAGAACTTACTGTCTACTCAAATTAGAGGAGGCACTTAAAAGAATTACCATATTGTACAGTAACCATGGCAACAAGGTGACAGATTCCCAGGCTTAATCAGAGACAACTTAGGTACAGAGTCACTGGGAGAGGCTAAGCTATCCCCACACTGCAGTGCTTACCCTGGAGGACTCCATCTCCACATTCCACTTTGGCCTGACCACATAGTCCTTGTTGGAGGGCATTGGCACCCTCGCACGGGCACAGAACCCGGGGTCTCCGGGTCTAAGAGCCCTGCAGAAAAAAAAAGATGTGACTGTTAAGCGACAAGTCTTACACAGGAAGAAGTAAAAACAATATAGTGTGTTCTACCTCTGAAACACACTGCATAACCATTGCCTCTAAACCCTCAAAACAAGTTGCATATTGTTAGTACCACTGCAATGCTTTTTTCTAACAGATCTTTTTTTTAAAAATCCAACCTACTTTTCCTCTCCAGTTAACACTTTCTCCAGATCCCTGCGAGGAGTCTGACCACCAGAGCTGCAAGAAAAATAAAATTTTATAGGCATCTATACGCAAAGTAATTCTAAAAGACAGTCAAGTGTGGTACAAGAAAAGAAAGAGGTCATAACTTATTAAAGGAAATAAAAGGATAGTATTGACACACCACTTTGGTTTTCTTGATGGAGCCTCAGAAAGAAAGAAGGATTTCATGTTTCTGCCTGCTACTCCTACCTGCTCAATCTCCTTCGCTGAGGCATCTGTTCCAAATCTCTCTGTTCCCTCTCTTCTCTTGTCATGCCTTTGTAGTTTGAGGTAAGGCCAAAGATGGGTCGAGACCATTCATCTATTAAAAAAAAAAAAATTGGTTAACAAATGCTAGGCCTCTGAAGTTTACCTCCAAGCCATTCCAGTGACCAAATACAGCTTTCCAAGTTCATGGGAAGTATTTATGCTTCCTTCTAAACAAATTATTTTTGAGCTCTTAATATTTCAGGGAAATCCAGCCTTGTGGACAGTAAGAAATGGCTTTCATCCAAAAAATCTCTTGCTGTTGCCTGCTCTTTTAGATCTCTCTCAGCTCTTAGAACACTTAGTGTCAGGAACTCCTGCACACCACAGTGGATGTTATTTTAGAAATATGTAAAGTAGTTCCTAAAGAACGTAAGTTTATAATCAGTTTGCAGTCATTCAGCATGGACTGCACTACACAAGGCCTACAGCTGTTTAAGTAAACTTTCAGTCATCCAAGATCTCTCTGAAGTCCATGGAATAAACAGTCTTCTAGCAGCACCTTCCTGCCTTCGTAGCGTATACACGAAGTCTGGACAACTAGCCAAGAGACAATCAGGGCAAAATAAATGCCATCCTCTGGTTTAGAAGAATGAAAGAAACAGGAAAAGGTGCCTGCAGAAGTTACCGTAACAGCGTTTGTTAAAAGCTCTACAAACAAAGCGGCCTAACAGATCAGTGGGATTCCTACACTGCAGCATTAATTCTACTACAGACAATAGAAAAGAGTGATGCAGAAATTAAATTATCAGTGGAACCTCACTGACACAAGGCAAAGGGAGATTTACATACTGATTAGCTTCCCTGCCATATCCTTGTTAGGTCTCGACTCTTTGGGGTGTTTGTAAAGGTACATCACAGCTCGTCCAATGCCACTGTGCTTCAGGGTCTCTTGGCTCACACTGGGCAACTGCAGGATACAGGAAAAGTCAGAAAATAGCAAGAAATGGTGTCTGAACACCAATGGCATCAAACTTCGCAAAAAGAGCAAAACTCACCTTCACAATAAGCTTGAAAAAAATTAGTATTTTTTCATTGTCCCACAAGGAATTGGTTAAAGTATCAAATACCAAAACCTAGGAATCTGCCTTAACATTTTTGGGTTTTATACACAAAATTAAGTCAGCTTCCAGAAATATTTACTCCAAATGATTTTTTGCTTATATTACCCAAGAACTGAGTTATTGCCTTCAAAGCATCCATTTTATAAAGATAAAAACTTACATGGCAAAAGCATTCAAGTCATCAGCTTAGCTACAAACACTAAAAGGTCTACACCGAGTATGATGCGCTTTCTCGTGCACTGCACACTTTAATAGGCCACAAAAGAGAAGGGACCATGAGAGAGTGAAACTCGCAAATGACTCTTCACTGAACTTTGCCTATAAACCTGAAATGGGCAGGCAGGGCCAAGTAATCTAAATTCAGGCAGAACTCTTGCAAATTCTTAGCAAGGAGCAATATTTCTAGAGCTTCAGTCACAGCCAGCTAGAGGCGCTGCAAGAAAAATTTCACTTCTACCTCATTATCAAAACTATGCCATGTTTATTTTATGAATACAGCAAAGACAAATTAAAGCGATCAGTCACAATGTATGAGCCACTGAGTGCAAGGGAAGATAAGTGACTAAGCAGTTTAGATTTATCAAGAATCTAGAAACGCCGTAACATATAACTCCCCGAGACAGGGTAGAGAACTTTTTGTCTGCAGTTTGTCCGAGACTCTCAGAAATGTCTTCTGGCCTGCTGCTAGCAGAGCTGTTTGCTTCGTTGTGAACACGGGCAAAATTTTTGTAACAGTTAAGTGCCTGAAGCTCCCTAGCCAAATTTTGTTCAGGTAGACAGCATGTCTACAACATAAGAGTCATTAAAATGATGCAACTTTTAAACAAGCACATCTGTTTTGCAGTTTGCTTCCTTGTGTATTTCACTGCACGGTCCATTGGTAGCAGCTGCAGTACATTTATCGCCAAACATTTCCCTAAAGCACATGACTGTAACACTGTGGAGAAGCCACGAATCAAATATGGTTAAAAGTCCATTTCAAACCTCTTGCAGGATCTTCAGAAGCTCCTCTCGTATCTTTAGTGCTGGCAGACTTCGGTCTGGAAGAGGAGAAAGCCACTCTTTGATGGCAGACATAACACCACTATCGATGAAAGTTTCTTTGAGGTCCTGCCTACGAAGTTTGAAGTAAAGAGGAGTCACAAAGTCATATAATACATCAAAATCTTAAGATGCAATGTTCTTTCAGCACAATAATGCACTGGAGTTTGTTTCATCTTCACTGCACACTCAGTACAACTGTAATATGACTCCACAAAATCTATCAAATTCCCAATATTCCCCAAGGCGATAATTAACTGGGAGAATGACAACTCACTTTTTAAGATGCATAACTACAGTTGGTAGCAAAGTTAATTTCTTTAGTGCTGGTTTCTTTTGTGTATTCAGCTGTCGATCCTCCTGTAGGGAGTTAAAGAATCAGCACAAGTTAATCAAAAGAACTCTCTCATCCTTTACAACATTTACAGGAAAAAGTTTAGTCTGTTACAAGAGAAGTGCAACTTTGGCAGGATTACGCTAACTTTGCACCCTGCTCTATCCTCCTGCAGCACCAAAAACAAATTATACGGTGACTTCTCTTATAAAAAGGGTGCCCACCTTAGTCAACATTTTCCTTAAAAGCATCACACTCCCTCTAACTTTTTTTTTTTTACTTCATGATTTCGATTGATTGCAATAAACTGGAGGTTTGCAGGGTCCTCCATGCTAGCTATGCAAAGATAACCTAGAAACTTTGTTAGTAAAAATCTCATGTTAACAACAGAAAAATAGCTAACGAAAACAAGGCAAAGTGAGGAAATGTGTGTTTGCTTCACCTAAGAATGTAATTAGATAACCTAGAAGTTTAGCATGGTGTAAGTAACATAAGAGCGCACAAATGCGCATCATGTGCTAAAACAAAGTCTGGGTTTCAAAGTGACTATCGCCCAAGACCATAATGTCACCATCTGTTCAGTACTTGGGCTCACATACCAAGACGACCCATTACAATCAACAGATTTATGTCCTGCTGTGGTAATTCCTGTCCACTCCTCTTTATCCACTGAAGGTTCTCTCTGCACACTGTTTTTTTTATTGCAAGGGAGAAGATTCTTCTAACGCCCTTTTACCTCTTCATGCCCCAGAATGGTTTGACAGGCACATGCTATAGAAATAAAGACACCACAACACCAGAGCTCAGCTCTTCCTTCTCTCCAGCATTTCAAACTATATGGCTTCATTTGAAACATATGGCTATCATCTTGGCCAAGAAAGACTTTATTGTCAAGACCAAGAGAGTCTCACTTGTCTCCCAGATTGCTATCTCACTCTCCCCTTCCTCCCCAAACACATTAGCCTTCTTATCTTGTTCTCAGGAAGATTCTTTTTCTGTTATCTGTAAGATTCCTCTATAAAGTTCCGTATATTCCCTCCAATTGGTTTTAATGAGTTTCACAGTGCTTTTCGTCAATTTGATTGCTACTCCAACAAAACTGCAACCAGAACAGAAGGTATCTGCCAAAAGGACAAGACACCCCAGTAGGCCTTGCACAGTAACATATAAAACATGCCTTGAAAAAGGCAGCCTGCCGAGACAGAACTTTGCGTAATTCTGTTACTCTACCATCATTTACCACAGTACTGTCATTCAAACAGTTTAGAAAAGGATTCCTCTCAGGAACAAACACCAAAGTACTACATATGCTAGTAACTGTATAACTAACTTAAAACCTAGTCCCTTTCTCAGTGTTTGATATACTTACTCATTTAGTTTACAGAACATGTATACATCCCTTTTTATAGGACAGTTGATCTCATCTGATCAAAGCTGAGCAAGTTAATGAATTTCAATCTTTAAAATGAAATATGGAGAAATGTTTATTCAACAGAATAATTTTTCTTTTCATTCAGAATAGCAAAATAACATTTAAACATTATTTAGATATTGGAAGCTTTCTGTAGCATACTCCTCCTGAGTATCAGCCAGATTTCTGTATTTTACCGATCACAAGATTTTCCCATAGAATGAAACTGGATTTTAAGGCGCCTTTGGACCCTACAAAACTCACCTCAGCAGCTTCATTCATCTTCACAATCATCGCACTGACCACATCATCTGCATCACTAATAAAAGTTCCACCATCACGGTTTCGTCTACGCTTGCCACTCATACTCTTCTTCCGTTGCAGCATCATGTCAAAATCTGACATGAAGTCCATACTAAAATGCAAGAAGAGTTTGCCGATGATCAGAAGAAGGTTGATCTCACTGTCTTTGCAGGAAGTAACTTTCTACTTCTGTAGTGTAACCTTTCAAAAATTCTCTAATAAACCTACAAGCATTATGTCTCAATGCCCCTGTAAGATAATTAGTTTTCCTCAGTACGCAAACTGGGAAAGTAGCAAAGGGCTTCAGTGGCTCCAAGACGCCCTCAAAAGTCTGCAAGACCTTGCTGAAATAGCTAACGACATGCGCACACATAATATCCTGGGTTCAAAACGTGCTAAAGCTGTCAGTGAAGCTGACAAAGATTTAGCTTTCCTGTACCTGCAATACACTGCTTTGATGCTACTGACCCAGATAGAAAGGAAACATGACACATGCTGATGGCAAGTCTTGCCATACCTTACCCCTTACACTAGCAGAGAAACACACCTGACTCCAATGTTGAACTCCTAGAAGTAGACTTAAATGTTTGATTAGATATTAATTTCACTCAGGTTTTGATGAAAACCGTGAAATACTGTTCTTTGAAGCAGCATAATCTGCTATGGATTGCCAAGTGACTAAAACTTGAGTACAAGCTGAGAGAGGACCTTCTGTCATAGTTTATGAGGACACACTTTCTGTAGAAACATGGTCCCGTGCCTTTCTAAACTGAGAAGCCTAGCCAGTCTTTGGACGAGCCCCTTCACTGAAGTCTTGCATTTGCTATTAACAAAGGAGCATGTAACACATTGACATACTGTTTCCCTCTTTTGATGTTATCATCCGAGTCTGATTCATCTGCTGTCTCCTTCATGTCTGCATCACCTTTCTCTTCCTCCAAGTCTTCCTGGTTAAAACCCTGATGGGTAAAGACAGCACAGATCAGTGTACAGATTAAGACTGAGCATCTACTCATGCACCCGACTCTGATACTTGAAAAACTTCAGACAAGTCTCCAGAAGATCTGGAAGATAGAGAAGCAAAAGCTTCCTAATTCTACGTACAACTTTCACACCAGTAACTCTCCCAACAGAAGAGCTGTAAGTGTTATTTAACCCCAAAACTACCTCAGTGAGTCCCAACAGATATAAAGCTTCCCTCCTGATACAGCTTATCTTTGAACATGAATTCAAACCCGAAGGGACATTCTGAAATACTGTGCCATGAAAATTACAGTTAGCAATTGAACAAAAGACATCCACAATAGCACTTACTGTAAATTCCTCCTCTTCCTCATCACCAGATTCTCCAAATATATCTGCGATCAGGTTCCTGTGAAGGTAATGGTAACATTTATCTATTTAGACAGCAACAGTGAGAAGTGCATTTTATGCAAAATTTCTAATGAGTCTGTGGAGATCCACCTTTCATTCTGCCACCTACCACTGACCTTCCTCTTAACACCACCAATGAAGGTAGACAATCATTCTCTGGTTGGGATTCATCCATTCTCCATTCATAATCAGTCTCACGATTTGCAACCCCAAAGGAATTCATATTCCCAGAAGCACTTACTCTTGTTCATTTCCAGATTCACTGTCACTGCCAAACAGATCTTTCTCTTCTTTTTTCTTTCCAGCATTCTCTCTTCTTTCTTCTTCTTCTTCTTCACTATCCGATACAATATTTTTCTTCCGTTTGTCAGATTTGTCTGAAGCAGCATCACTGTCTGATTCCTCAACATCAGAAAGGATTCGTACTTTTTTTGCAGCTGCCAACAGAAAGAAGCATTGCTACATGTCCTAGCACACGGTATTCTGGTATTCTCAAAAAACTATTCTCTCAAAATTGATTTTGTCAAGAGGGAAGCTGACTAGCCTTCCTACCCGAAATCACTGCCATTTCTTAAAAAACGTATCCATTCTAAAGTCTGTTTTATTCAATCAGTAACTGCAGTTTCCATACACCACATTTATCCACAAAAACTTGCAGTTTCAAAACTGACTCTCACTCCTAGTATATGAAAAAACAGAAGAAAAATTTACTAGAGAAGTAACAACAAACTAGAGAAATGACTAACAGGAATTATCAACATGACAACAGATGCCACTATAAAGCAAGATCACTGCAGTCTTCTCTGTTACTTCTATTAGAACTACTTACTACTCGTAAGTATTAGATATACATTCACCCAGAAATGCAGTGAGAACAACAGTTCTACAAACGCAGTACTGCTCTAAAAACAAATCTGCTTTATGGTTTCATATTTATCTTAGACGTTTTCTTCACATAAAAACAATGAGTTAACTCTAACAGCATTGCTTCTCACATCACATTTTTATTTTCACACTATAGTTCCTTACGTGTTTTCTCATTGTCATCCTCACTGTCAGAAAGGATAGCTGTTTTCCTCTTCACTGTCTTCTCCTCCTCTTTCTCTTCTTCATCACTGTCTGATATTTTTCGTCTCTTAGGACCTTCCTCTTCACTGTCAGAGCCCTGAAATCCTTCCCTTACATGTTCATTATCTGAATGATGAGAATCATTCTGAGCCTCCTCCTTCCTGTCCTCCCCATCACTATCCTCAGACTCTATTTCTTGTTTGTGTCTGGAAATGTCCTCACTCTCAGAGTCGCTAGCTGGCTGTTTGCGGAGTTCCTCGCTCTCCGCTCCTCCTTCCTGTCCTCCCCATCACTATCCTCAGACTCTATTTCTTGTTTGTGTCTGGAAATGTCCTCACTCTCAGAGTCGCTAGCTGGCTGTTTGCGGAGTTCCTCGCTCTCCGAGTCACTGGCCGGCTGCTTGTGGGGCTCCTCGCTCTCCGAGTCACTGGCCGGCTGCTTGTGGAGCTCCTCATTTTCAAAATCACTACTGTGATCCCTGTGAGGTTCTCCATTTTCAGAGTCACTTGCTCGATGATTTAAGGCATCTTCATTTTCAGAGTCACTTAAATGCCGATTTGGATGGTCCTCAGTATCAGAATCACTGTCTTTCCCTTCGTGACCTGCTTCATTGTCTGAATCACTCACATTGTTATTTGGAGGCTCCTCATTATCCGAGTCACTGTCTTTTTGCCTTGGGATATCTTCATTTTCAGAGTCTGTCATATGAGGCTCTCCCATTTGCCCATCATCTTCTCCATCACTGTGTTCATTCTGAAAGAGAAAAATAATCTCAGGCAACTAAGCAAAAAAGACTTAAAAAGGAAATAAAAGAAGTTCTGAATTTTTCCTTGTCCTTCCTCCAATTTGATTACCTAAGGTACTGCAAACTAAAATGCTTGCTATACAGAAATAATTATTAGACAATTTGCATCAAAGGACTACCAAATACTTCAGATCAAGAAACATATTAAGAGATCAGAGGAAGTCTGTCCACCCTGCGGCTCAATCACATTTTGGAAATGGTAAAAGAATTTAAAAAACACTCAAATAAACATATCTAAGAAGTTCCTCCAAGGTAACTATTTAGTGCTTTTATTTTAAAAAGTTAGGCCTTCAAAGTGGTTTAGTCCAAATGCCCAGTAGTAAGGAACAGTATCTCGCACTTGTCATTTTTTCTTAAAATCTGAAACAGATGGTTTTTTGTATGAAATACATTTTACTGAAACTGCACATGTATTACTTTCCAAGTGAAGCTCAAAAGAGTTAGTGCCCTTTCCTTCTTTGCCAAGGAAGCTTATTTAGGAACACGTCAAGACCAAAAGCCTACCAAAAAACAGGAATAAAGTCTTAGTCAGACCTTTCAGAATATTATTGTTAGTAAGTTTTGTGTTTCAATGCATAAGAATGTAAGAACAGATTCAAGGCTTCTCTCCCTTAAGCTGATAGCTGCCATGCCTATCCACACACCTGAGATAACCTATGCATAAATACACCAATCTTCTTAAAACTTTAGAATTGAAACGCAATCCTTTACATCTTTTTCTACACAGCAAAAAATACCAAGCTGCACGCTCCATTTTTGGAAAAACCTTTCAAAAGCCACCTGTCAACAGCATCACTTGGTTTATCAACATCTTGGTTTATCTTTCCTACAACATCTAACTTCTACCTGTGGAAAAAAAAAAAAAATCTCAACTGCATTACCGGAGACAACAAAATCAGACTCTTGAAGACTCATTTCATTAACTCAGTATGCCTGTCACAGTCACTGTCACAATAATCCCTTTTCAACTGAAAAGAACAATACAGTAAAAGGATCTTCTTTTCTACATATTCAACTCCACTCTTCAGCCAGGCTTTCTTCAGGAGTGATTTTGTCTCTCTCGGCTATAGACACCTTCTACCAGCTTATCTGCAAACTGAGTATGTATTGTCCTAGGAGATACTTCAAGACCCGTATGTCCTGGAGCTTCCAAATCTTTTTTTGTCAGCAATTTAATTTCCTTGGAAAGACAGGCTTTCTATCTATTTTTATTTTCTATAGTCACTCTACTCCCAGATTCATAGCCATACACAATAATGCAGGTGTATCTATCCCACACCTACAACAAAACAATACTATTCATCTTTAAAATGTATTATTAAGAAGGAATTTTGAATAAAATTAAACTTTTAATTGCTTTTAGGAACTACTCCCTCCAGAATTGTAAGTGGTAAATAACAACCGCTTTTCAAGACTTTGGACCTTGCGCATTTGTTCTCTTGACTAGCACTCAATAAAATAATGACTTATCTAAATTACTCCAAAATCACTAACAGAAAGTTACTGCACAATGAAAAAAAATCAGGATTATATAATTTTAAAACATGCAGTTCAAATACAACTTCACTATTTCAATGCTACTTAACACTATCTACAAAGCAGCTGCTGTGATAATCTGCGTGAGTAGTTTCCTCTCCACTGCTTGTCCCTGTCTCTACAGGGATGCTAGTCTTTTGAATCATGCTGGTGGTTATTATTCAGTATTTCTCATTTCTTCTTACAGAAAGGACACACAGTTCTGATAAAACCTGAATTTGGAATTTTAAAGAATTAAATATGAAGATTAAGTTACAGAATGGAGGATGCACAGCTGAGGAAGACCATATACACACACTCAACTGCTCTCTGTTTGCTATGGCATTTTATTATTATTTTATTATGGCATTTTACTACTTTTTTTTTCTTACAAAAAAATTAATTGCTCTCTCCTGCCCAGTATCTCCCACATAACAACATCACTAACAACATGTGTATGTGATGTATTTTCTCTGTCTTATTTAAGATTAAAGAAAACTGCGGCTGCAAACAGAAGAGGAAGCAGATTTTACAGCAATGGTACACGTACGGTCATTGAGAAGTACTGAAATACAGAGGTCTACACTGAAATTTATGTTTATAGTAACAGAAATTCTTTAATCCTTATTTTCCTACCATTTAATTTTTGGTGGGTTTGTCTGTATTCTCTTGATTTCAGATGGCTAATGCTGAATAGGTACTGATAATTATGTCAGCAACAATAAGGGACTTTGCTAAACAAAACCAAGGAAAACAATACAAATACTCCTGTTTAAACCATTAGGCTCATCACCTTTATAGACTGCCAGTCTAAAGTCTTTGGTGGACAAGTAAACAAAACTAGGAAACAACTGGAATCCATTATGATTCTTAACCACTCAATGTTTCTAAGGTCAAAAGTGTGGCTGCAGGCTATATATTCACCTAGTCAGAATGTATTACTAAATTACAAAGAACTTGCTATGCAAAATACTCACTGAGGAGTCATTACAATTATACAGCAATATTACTGAAGCACTTAAGAACATACTGAGTCTCTAATCGGTTACCACAAACTGACAATCACTCTCGAGAACAAAGATGGTTGGGGAGGGGGAGCAGACATGCAGCCTAATTAGCTGACACTGTGATTAACACAGTGCTCTGCACCACAGAATCCCAGTGGTTACAGCAGCTGAACTCTACTGTGATATAAACACTCACAGAAGCACCACTTAAGTAATACAGTTGCCCCTACACAGACTGGGCAGACAGGGACCATCTACTCTAGTCCTAAGTCTGGAAAGCATGACTAGAGCTAACCCAAAAAGCACACAGTTATATTAATCAAGTCAATAAGCCCGCAGAGATGGCACACACTACCTCAGACTCGGCACGTTAACATAACTGCGCATCTTCTAAAGTTCAGCTGAGACAGAGCTGACTCGCTCAGAGCCTACATGGAACAGAAAAGGCCCTGTCCACAGCCATCAGTGCAAAGGTCTTCTGAATGTAATTAATGAATCTGTGAATGCTTTGGAATATACTTGATATAAATAGTGCATGCAATTTTACAGTAAGATGACTAAATTGTGTATGATAGTCTTCCCTCCACCCCACCCCTTTTTTTTTTTACTAGTTCGTCTCTGAAAAGATGTTTTCAAAGAAATCAGTCTAATTTGAGTTTTCTGTTTTTCCTTTTCCAAATATTTAATTAGAATAAAAGATTAGACATCCTCAAAAACAAGTAGGTCTCAGGTAATTGCTACTGCATTTTTCTCTAATTCCTTTGCTTTCTTTTCTTCCTCCTCTTTATCTATAAACATTTTAATTGAGATGTCCTTAATTTGTTTTAACTGAAAGAATTCTATAACATGAGGCTTTAGTACAGTATAAAATAAAGAATACATCAAAATCAAATTTACAGTGTTATCCTCAAAATTTTCAGTTAGCAAGTAGTTTCTTGGATCAACATGCAGCCACTTTTAAGAGGTACTACATTGATAATTTAGTAAGTTCAACAAGATTGACCCATCCACTACAATCTCATTATGAATGACAATTGTTAAACTAAGGCATACATAACCATCACAGGCGGATCAGCATCAGATTTCTCCGTTTTCAGAAATGTAAGATACTTGTAGGTGTTTGTTAACAATCACAGTCAAACCATAACTTAATTCATGAAGACAGGGACGACTTGGTGAAAGTGTAAGAATCTAAGTCATTAAAGATTTCCATATAAGCCTGACTTGTACAAACACTGTAAACATGATTTCATATTCATTACTGTACTAAAACTATGTGTTATCTAATTCTATTTATCTAAAACAGAATCGGTAAGGACATCAAGGAGAACATTTATAGATAAAGTGGGATTGGGGGAAGGAAAGCCAGAAAAGAATTGTGGAAAAGAAAAACCCACATACCTGAGACCTACATAAGTAATTCCTCAGGATTCCCTTTTTCTTTAAAGTTAAGAACCTGAAAAAAAAGTTTGAAAGTTTAAAACTGCAGTTCTTTACATCTGAGTTCTAAATTAGAGACGAAGTAGTAATTAAATAGACTTAACTGATTAGGCTGTCTCAAAGGTTTTATTACCTTTGAGTGTCATTCCTCCCACACATTCCTAAAGATGAAGGAAATAAGAGGATAAGAGAATATTTAGGGTAAATAATATTATAAATCACTGAAAGCTACTCCTTTCAGAGACAGCTGCTCCACATTATTTTGAGTTGTATTTTGAATTTGATGTACAAAAAACTAAGAATGTAAGACTTCATAACAAAACAAAATACTCAAATGTTTAAGATTTGAACTGAATCTAATAAAACAATAAAATTTGAAGATTCCCATTTACTATTGGACACAAAGCTGTTTTAATTCTGGTTTTTTTCTTTGTTTTGTTGTTTTTAATGGATTTTCTGAAGTACTTTGTATACAGAGGAATATTCAACAACCATCACAGAACAAAGCCCTTAAAATAATGCATGCCCATGAAGAGGATCAGTTAAAGATAATAGGGCCTAGTACTGGTTATTTAAATCTGAAAAAGAGATGCTGAAGATGTAACAAATAGTCAACTACCTGTTCTTTAGGCCAGGTTTCCATCTGCTTTGCCATAGTAAGTAAAATTAAAATCCCACAAGAGTATAGAAGAGCAAGAACAAATGACCAAGTTTTCACACACAGCAGAAAAAGCTTAATATTACTGTAGCAACAACACGCTCTCCATGCTCTCATTACCATAGTTTTTATTCATTAAAACAGAAGTACTAAATCCCTTTGAAAGACAATTATTTCTCCCATGCTGAAAAACATTTTCTCCCACATTGAAATCCTGACTGTCACAAGAAGAGATAACGCCTCACACCAAATCAATTTCTTCCATTGTAAATCAACAGCTTTAAAAAAAAAGAAA